CTAGTTGATTAAAAAATATATATTTTTTATTTGTAAAAATATATATTGTTATTGTGTAAACTATATACCATTAAATTGGAAATTATATTTTATCCTCTCTTAGTATGTCTATTTAATTTTTTGATAATGTAACAAGCACTTTTGCAAATTTGAAAGAAAAATTGTCACAAGTCACAACACAACATGACGCTTAGTTCAAATTCCTTTTCGCACTTATTTTTTACTACCCGAAACAGCGTTATTCTACATCACACAAACCTCGTACCTGAGTGCTTTATATTCTCAATAAGTGCACTAGCAAAAAACTAAAATACCTAAATATTATGACAAAACCACGATTTCAATATTATTTCTGCCGTTGAAGCGCTGCGGTCGGAATTTGTTGAAATCAACTGAAATGCACCCCCCCCCCTTAGCCTATAGCATATCAAGTTTACTTACCTTTTCAGCCTAAGAGCGAAAATCAAATGTTACAATGTTACCAATCCAAATGCTTACATACTCCATGACGCCTGAATTGGCCTGAAAAATAAATTAAATTATTAAAAATTAGCTAAATAAAGGAAGTTCAGGTGGTAGTGCATTTTGAGTAAATTAACTGCCAAGTGAAAGAAAGACAGGAAGACTATATAAGACAGAAATTTTAAATCGTGCCTGAAGTAATTAAAATAAAGACAATATGAACAAAAACAGGGCTCCCATTTCTTCGAGTGCTTTTTAATGACCAAGGGTTAAAATTTGTTTAAGTCATTTGGAACTGGACTATGGGCCCCTGTCCTCGGCAAGGCTAAAACTGAAAAGCGGCATACAAAAGAGGCCTTAAACTTGTTGGGCTGAATTGACGGCATATTGACGGACAGCAAGCGACGATCCGCCGGTACGGCCTGATCCGACCACAATGTAATTTTTATACCGGCCGACTCGTTTATTCAAACCCTGCGATAAATAAATTTTCGCTCACAATGAGACTGGCGCATTTCTTTCCAATTCAACGTCGCTTTTCGTCCGTTTCACTTAAAACGCTAAATAAGGCAAATACAAACGTAACGGCATGTAGGGAAGGAAGACGAAATGTCTAATTGTTGTCGTGGCCCGAGCTACTGTCATAATTTACTGGTTTTTCTCCCGGCTCCTTATTTGTTAATGACCCTATTCATTCTCCCTTAAAATTTTTATTAATTGACAATTTAGTTTATCTCCAACAACTTTTGAATAAGAGCAAACCCAACATTTTTATTTTTTATAAAAGTATATAAAATTTACTACAAACCATTAATACCGTATGATCGAATAAAAACGGCGTCAGCGATGGCTATGAAATGAAGATCGCTGTCATTTTATATGTAAAATTATATGGGAAATGTCATCGATCTTCATTTCATAGCCATCGCTGACGCCGTTTTTATTCGATCATACGGTATTTTCTCTGGGAGCCTTGAATATATTTTAAAAATGGCCAAATATGGGTAATTTTTCGATTTTCTTCTTGCAATATAGTCATGGCAAATGACGATTTTGGTCATGTCACAGATTTTCTTAAAACTGCTGTTATTCTACTAATTAAAATAAGGTGTAGAATAAAATGATATAGACCACTGTAGTCTAACGAGAACAGTAATAGATTCACAGGGCTCAAATAATTTATTTCTCACCAAAAGCCTTCAAAGTTTATATATTCTGAATTTGTATAAAATGTCATACAAATGCTGAAATTTTTATAATTTTATGACTATTATTATGATTAATATTTATGACTATGTGTGAAAGATGTAGAATATAGGCCATTGTAGTTTTACGAGAACAGTAGGGGACGTTTTAACAACAAAACATCATCAAAAATAGGTCAAAACAAGTTTCCAAAAAATAATTTTCTCCCAAAGCCAAGGTACCTAAGCCTTCAATAGTATATATCGTCCTATTGCTGCCAAAAGTCATTAACTGACATTTTTCCGAATAACGTGAAAATTCAATAACGAACTATATATTGAAGCGGAGAATCGATCGAAACAGTCATTGACTACGGTTTCTGGCTATTTATGCTGTATTTTAATACAGAATAGTCACTAACAACAACTTTATGCAATGTAATTAATCTTTAGACGCGTTTCTCTCGGAAGTAATAAAAAGGAAGTTAGTGACTTTTGGCAGCAATAGGACGATATTATACATTCAGAATTTACATAAAATTTCCTACAAATGCTGAAATTTTTATAATTTTATGACTATATTTACTATATTTCTAGGGGTTTTAAAAATGGGAAAAATTGCCAAAAATTGGCATTTTTTGACTTTTTTTTATACATATAGCCGTGAAATTTGGCGAAATTTTCGCCATGTGGCCATGTCACAGACTTTCTTAAAACTGCTGTTATTCTACTAATTAACATAAGGTGTAGAATAAAATCATATAGGCCATTGTAGTCTTACGAGAACAGTAATAGATTCACAGGGCTCAAATAATTTATTTCTCACCAAAAGCCTTCAATGTTTCATATATTCTGAATTTACACAAAATTTCCTACAAATAATGATTTTTTTTTCCTATAAACGTTGAAAATTTCAATTTTTTTTAACTATAAGTTTACAATATTTTAAGAGCATTAAAATCATACAAAAAAATAGTTAAAATTGCCTGTTTACAAATTCAATCTTTCTAACGATACAGAAAACTTAAAACACAGGTTTTCCGTTGCTGAGAAAAGTTTAAAGTACGAATATAACGAAAGAAGAATTATTGACTCGTTCAGGAACTTAAACACCCTTCAAATTGCTATTGCTTCTAGGGCAAGACAGCTTGCGGGAGACGTTTAACGGCCTCATAGTTTCCTAATTTAAAAATGCGATATGGGGGTATTTGTCAATTGAATTATTGGCGCGTTGCAGACGGTGTCACGCTTTAAATTTTCCGTCATTTGGCCGTAAATGGGAATTTTCTTATTATAAAGCCTACTTTACATGCCTGTGCCGAGGGAGGGCGGCCTGAAAAGAGCCCCATTTTTTCCGTCGAAAAGTATTACGTTCGACAATGGAGAGGCTGGAAAAAAAGGGGCCAAACATCCAGAACGCGTACTTATTACAAATCCCTCAGCGTTCCACTCATTTACCACTCGATAAAGAAAAATAATTCCTTTTCAAGCTCTGAATTTTCATCAAAAATAAACATATTCCTCTTTAAATCCAAAACATTCAGTTTTAAGACACTCTGTATACATATATCATTATGGATAATTAAAATATTTATACGCAAATGACAGAGTAGGGACGATGAGAATGATTAAAATGGTCATTGGCGGAAACGATACTGGGAGAACTGACAGATCAGCGGCTTGAAATACCCTCAAAAAGAAAAATCCACTCCTCCAACTCCAGAATGTACAACTTTGAAAAACACCTCACTGTAGTATTGAGCAATAAAAAGGATTGGAAGAGAGAAACGTTTAATCGGCATGTAAAAGAGAATAGATTAACATGATGACTTCCAAGATCAAAGCAGGGACAGAGATAGGGATAGGAGTATTTAGACCAAAAACTAAATACTCCGATCCAATGGGCAGTATCATTCCCCCCAGTATCATTCAGGCAGAAATCTACGCTATCGAAAGATGCGTACAATTTATCTTAGATAGGAACTATCGAAAACAGGAAATAACCATCCTAGTCATCCTAGTCAAGCAGCACTAAAGGTGACCAGCTCAATAACCATCATTTCGAAGCTGGTTAAAGAATGCCTAGAAAAGCTCCTCCTACTCTAGGCAACAACTGCCACCTCACCAAAGGATAGAAGGCAATGAAAAAGCAAACGATCTAGCTAGAAAAGGAGCAAACACTCCACTAACTGGACCAAAATCGTTTTGCTTTCCAAGTGGAAACCAACTTAAAGCGGATCTCAAGAACCTACAAGACTCCATGCGTAACCTGGAATGAGAATGTTCCAACGGTTTAAGACACTCCAAGAAATTTCTCAGAACTTGCGACCGAGAAAATTCAAAGAGATTTAAGTAAGGATTCTTGATAAACAATCTTCGGATTGTCACGGGGTTTTTAACACTCCTCAACAAACACCTCAGTAGATTAAAGCTTCCTGGGACTCTTTTGAATTCTCTGGGACAAAATGGGGTAACTCCAGAACACCTCATCTCTGAAAGCTTTGGTACGACTGATATCGGAGATGCTAGGCTCTGTAAAGCTGTTTCAGATACAGGCTTTCGTCAAAGAGACTGTATGATAAGCACTCATCGCACTCAAAAAAGGGGTACACACAATAGATCTGGAAGGACACGGTGACTAACCCCCTCTCTTAAACATTCTACATTCTACATCTAAATCTAACGATAATTTGAAAACTGGAAGCTAAAACTAAAGTAATAACTTTAGTTTTTTTTTTTGATTAGCTGGTGATTTTTTATTAAACGGTAGACGCTCGCCTGATATCTCTAATAATTAATTACGTTCGTGTTTTTTTTCGGCAAAAGAACGAACCATTAAAGGTTCCGCCACAAGCGTTGTTTCCCTCTCTGAATGTCTTGTTAATCGCCGCAATCCGAAAATGGAGATGTCTGGTCGCAGTTAGTGGACCGCAGGCCTCTATGAACTAACCCCTGATTGTCGGCTGGAGGTTCAAAACTTTTTCCGCAATAAGCTGCAACATTCTCGTTTTAGTTGTTTTTCGAATAAAAAGTCGTTTTTCCAAGTTAGAAAAATAAGCCGACGCTCCGTCCTGCCGGCCATACCGACTTGCACGCATAAAGGAATATACAGTGTGGCCCAGTAACAGACATCCGAAGAAAATAAGAGTTCAAAATGTATGCTGTAAAAGAAAATCGTACAAATACAAGACGCTTGTTATTAATATAAAAAAGTAGGGGAATATTGGTTGCTTATTGTTATCTCTCTATTATGGGCATTTAATTAGGTTATTCAAAACTGAAATTTGTTATTTTCGGAACACAATTTGATATTCGCAATTCTAGACCTTAATCAATTTTTCTCTCTTGTTTTAGATATCGAGATGATACGCTATGCTGGGCTGAAAGGTGAGTAAAGCTTCTAGTCAACTTGCATATCAATGTAGTTCCGCTAGTAAACTGAGTTTATAAATATGCTTTCATATATCAAGTATTATATAAAGGTAGCCACATACATTGGGTTTTCCCTGAAGGCAAAACTGCGCAGTCCAGGCCTTGATTTTTGGCGTCTACCGACGATGCTTTGGTGGTAATTGGTTGGCATCAATTGTATATGTCATCAGTTTAAGACTCCAGAGTTAAAAAAGTCTTTGAATTTTATATTTCATTTTCTGTAAGAACTTTGAAGTTATATTTTAATAGCAGTATTTTTTGTAGCCATTTGGCTCAAATTTTTTCATTATGTTGCTCTGTCGATCTTGCGTTATCTTTTTTTATATTCCTGTAGTGGTATTCATTACACTTTTTTCGAATATTTAAATAAAGTGTTTCAAAAACTGATGGTTTATATTTGTAAAATAATCGTGGTCTACAGCGGAAAACTGGCCATTTTCGAGGTGGCTATTGGCCTGTTCCACTCCGCCCTTTTCAGATCGATTGTGGTCCTCTTCTGATTTTTAGGTTACATTATCCTTTTCCTTTTCAAAAAATCTAAAAACTTGGAGATTGAACCCTCTATAATGGTTTGTCAATGACCTATCAGTGCCACGCACAAAGAACAGCACAGTTGCCAGGCTTTCGCACCGACATAACATGTTTTCTATCGTTTCTTCTTCAGATTCACAATGTCCTGTTAGTAAACCCATACAGCCTTGCCTGTTTTCTGTCTTTGCTTACAGTCTTTTTATACAGTCTTCACCTTTGACCATACACGCTGAGGAATATAAAAGGCTTGACCTGGGCAATACAAACCTTGAGGGAAAATTGAATGTGTGTGACTACCTTTCCTGAAATACCGAATACTATAATTATTGCTGAGGAATATAAAGAAGGTTCGTTTGGTTTGGAAGATATGCGAACAATTCTTGCTGAGCGAAAATTCAGCGGAAGAGTTGCAAAAAGCGAGAGCAATTAAAATTAGAGTAGGCCTTCCCGAATTGCGCAAAAAACCGGCCACCAAAAAGCAGCAGAAAACGAGTAATTCTAGGCATCCAAATAAAGCGCACGTGCGCAAAAAATAGCGAAAATATTGACGGAACGGTAAAAAAAGAGCCGAAGTTGCAGCATACCAAAGGCGGTTGTTCGAAAGAGTCTGGCTCGTCGGCGATGTGGTCGCGTTGGGCCGTCTCAGTCGATAATATCATATGGGCCACCATTCAATCGATTCTCGAAACAAATACAATTCCATATATGTCACTAACCTTCAGCAATCCCAACTACCAATTATGGTCTAATTGGTTTTGAGAAACATTGATTTTCTGAACGGTTTATAGCTTTTAATAAACGCTATTTAATTAGTGAAGTGGCACTTCAACCATCAAATATTCTTATTAACTGAATTCCATATCATTTCAAAAACCACAAAAAAAACTAAATTTGTTTGACTGTTCCCTTATTTAAGAAATAGTTTTAAAGAAAAATAGCTAGGCAATGTAAAGCGTGACTTGAAGGTTTTAAAGTAGTAGACCCATGTCAGTTAAAAGCGAAAATATATCACCTTTCGGTAGGTGATGCGTGGCACAAATTTACATAAACTTCAACTTAGGACACACCGGCAAGCTACCGTAAAATACCAAATAAATAACAAAAACTTTATAGCACTAAAAAGGCGTATTATAATTTTATGGGAATGGATTTAAGACCTAACAAAATATCTAATTCTTTCGAACACTTGGATTGTACTATGAGTGTTTAAAGCTCTTATTTTTTAATGGAATATTATGCTTGGTTTAGTATTAAAAACAATAAAAATATCGACTTATTTATACCATCCCCGTTTAATTTAAACGCTAGTCTTTACAAATTCAGTGAGCGTTCTGTTTTTACTATTCAAATAAGAAAAGCAATCGACAATTTCTCATAAAGTCTGAATTAAAAAGTAGGAATTTTGTGGAGGCGCCAGGCCACAGCTACAAGTGATCGTCGGAATGCCATCAAATATGACATCGGGCATTCCCCGAGTATCGTGTGCTGTTTATGAGATATTTAACTGCCCTATAAATCAACACCCTACCAAAACGCTTGTAATTAAGGGCTGAGTCAATTTACCACCGCAAGTTAGAAGGCAGCACGGTTGCCGATATTAACAAGAATTCAGAGAAAAAATAAATATAAGATCCTTTATAATATACAGGGCAACAATATTATTTATAATATACCGAACTGTATTCGGCAGCATATTCTGGCGGATAAAAATAAATAAAAAAGTTCGTATAAATGTATGTCCTAAAATGCTTAGTTTCGAAGATACAGGGTATAGAAGTTTCATTTTTATTTCGAATTTTTCCAAATAATTTCTCAAATAACGTCAATATTTCGATGAAAATTGGTGTCTGGTAGTTTTTTGACATGAGAAATTTGATTTTGACATCACTATGACTTTTATTGGTAGGGGGCGCCACCTACATGTGTTTTAACTGTTTTGAAGAGTAATAACATTTCGTCCGTACCTGTATAAAACAACTGAGTGAAAAAATATACATTTATGTGACTTTTTACGCAAAATATGTCTCTTGGTAAAAATCGCGACGAGCAAGCCGTTCTCAAGATATTTAGTATGGAAATAGCCAATACATGTCATTATTGACAAAAAATAAACACATTGATTAGATATGACTGAAAATTAAAAAAATTGGGAAATTTTTATTTTTTAAATTAATCATAAATTATGATCTCGATGACCATTTCGAGAACCATTACTCCTAGAGATTTTTACCAAGAGACCTTGTTCACGTAAAAAAAAGTCGTAAATGTGTACTTTTTCCTCAGTAGTTTTATACAGGTACGAACGAAAAGTTATTATTCTTCAAACCAGTTAAAAAATATGTAAGTGGCGCCCTCTATAAGTAGAGAGTCATATTGACATCAAAATCAAATTTCTCATGTCAAAAAACTACCAGACACCAATTTTCATCCAAATATTGACGTTACTTAATAAATTATTAGGAAAAAAATTGAAATAAAAATGAAACTTCTACACCCTGTATCTCCGAAACTAAGCATTTTAGGACATATATTTATACAAAACGTTTTTACTTATTTTTATATATCTGCAGTATGTATATATGCTGCCGAAGTTTCCGGAAACCAGTTCGGACCACCCTGTATAAATATATATCAGGTGGGGTTGTAGTTAAAGGTAAATTGACACTAGATGACAAAGATTTGACACTACCTTACCCCTTACTCCATGTATGGGTATGTGTATGTCCGTCTGTAACCAGTGGGGGAACAATGACAGAAAATACAATATGACTGTGATTTATATGAAACGCAACAACTCTCAGTATCCTTACTTGTCCGAAATTTCCAAAAACTTACTTATATAAGCTACCAGAAAGTAAAATACCGATTTTTGAGTTACAAAAATGTACTGAAATGGGCTTGGCAACATTGTGGGCAAAGTTTTCGTCACCATCACGTCTGTCCGAGCCCGAAGGCGAAGGCCTTCCGGGTGTTATTGGCCCTAATTAAACGCCTAATGTCGGATTATGTGTAGCCCAACTTTTATGGAGAGATGCATCAAGGGCTTAGCGCAAGACAGAGCACTAAAAGGCCACGAACAAGAACACCATCTTGTAATTACAACTATATCTCGGGCTCGTTACTGCCATTTAGGGTTTAACGATTGTCATGATAATTAAGTATTCAGACAAAGAAAAAGGAAGAATAGACTAAATTAAAGAATAATTTACTGTAAAAAATGTAATTAATAGAAGAAAAACAGACGGTTGTTGGTGAAGGGAAAAGGGGTAGCACAGTCGAGAGCCGAAACAAAGCATTCGTGATCGCCGTCAAATAGGTTGAGGACGATCAATCAAAAAATCTGCCGGTACGATTACGTTTTTCGTCGTCTGGCAGTTTGGCCAGCTCGCGCCCATTGATGCAAAAAGCCAGAAACCCGGGCCGGGTTCCTTCGCAAAACCCCACGGTAGCATGCGACAGGGACTTTTTGTTAGGGACGCACCAAATCCTCGAAGTATCGATAGGGGATCTCGATTAGTCTACTGCTCAGTTGGTCACTACTCGATACTAGTCGCTCAAGAGAAAACAAAAATTTGCAAAGGCCTTAGACACAAAGTAAAAATAGTCATAAAATTATGAAAATTGCAGCATTTGTATGAACTTTTATGTAGGTTCAGAATTTCATAAATATCATGTGTGTATCACCTTTGAAGGCTTATTTACCTTAATTTTTTGGATCCTTATTTTTCACTTATTTTTGATGCTGGTTATGTACAATGGCCTATATTTTCTTATTCTACACCATTTAATTAATAAATAGAGCATTTTTAACAAAATCGATGACATGACGAAAATCATAACGCCAATTTTCATGACTATATGTATGGGAAATATGCCCATTTTTTGGCTTTTTTGCACATTTTCAAATGCCATAGAAAAATACACAGTCATAAAATTATGAAAATTTCAGCATTGGTAGAAAATTTTATGTAGATTCAGAATATTCAGAATAACCTTTGAAGGGTTAGGTACCTTGGCTTTGTGAGAAAATATTTTTTTTGGACCCTTGTTTCTCAACTATTTTTGATGATGGTTAAACCGTACCCTACATCCGTTATTGTTCTTGGAAGAGTACAATGGCCTATATTTTCTTATTCTACGCCTTTTAATTAGCAAATAACAGCATTTTTAACAAAACCGGTAGCATAACGAAAACCGTCAATTTTCATGACTTATGACATTTTCAAGGGCCTTAGAAAAATACTAAACACAGTCATAAAATTATGAAAATTTCAGCATTTGTAGGAAATTTTATGGAGATTCAGAACACATACACCTTTGAAAACTTAGATATCTTGGTTTTGTGAGAAAAATAATTTTTGGGACCCTCGTTTTAAGCTATTTTTGACGACGACAAAAAAAAGCTGTTATATGACGAAAGGACTTAAATATTGATAAACTTTCTGGTGTAAAAGCAGAAGAAAACAGATGGAACCCCGCGTCGTTCATAATATCGATTGAAAATTCGATTTCTGGCGCAGCCCTAGGCCTCACGGGCCCCCCTCATTAAAACCCATGTATGTCGAGAATGTGGAAACGCAAGTCGGCTTGCTGCCAGCGTCCGTCACATTCTGCCAACCGGAGGGACACAATAAATATTGTTGGTCCATCTAGCCACTGGCCACCACAAAAAATCCACAGTCAACTGAAGGTTCAATCGGAAATCCGTACTCAACTCTCTCTGGCCTCCGAAATAACAATTTCGAAGGTCTAAATGATATTTTTGCAATATAACAATAATTAAAAACATAAATTACCATACCGGTACCATCAAAGATAGAAGAGGTTTTCTCTGTACCCTTGTTGACTCAAAAGTCAATATTTTTTCTCTGAATTAACGACACATTTATATTACTATTACACTAAACCAACAGAAACACTAATAATCCTTTCTAAAGAATATGCCGCGGTGTTTAAGAAACGTATTAACACCATATTTCTAAGTACTTAAGCAACCCCATAAAATATAAAATCCTGCAGCAACTAAATTTGCTATTTCTTTGAAATTGATGATTGAATTACAGACGCAAGCTGCTTAGAAATATACGTTTACGCATGTCCATTCGTTTCTGTATAAAATACTATGTTAAAAACGTTGTTTATTATTTGAAATAATTATAAATTTGATGCGACGGGCTCCACGCCCAACCTGTTCGTTGTATAAAGGATTTATACAGCACGTGCGGCTAGTATTGTTATCTGGTGAAATAACTCAGATGAGGCTAGTTCAGTCTTGCTATATGGTATTGGCATAGCCACATACATTATTCAGCTACTTGGTGGATTAATGGTAGCAGCGGAGCCTGTATTGCCAAGAGCATTCACAAAAAAACACGGTCTGGTTTCTTACGTAGAAGAAGCACTGCAACTTTATATATTTGTTAATAATTTTACTATAATTAAAGATAAAGTAACTATAGTTTTTTTCAGAATCCTTATTGCGACCTCAAACGCCATTAACTTTTTAATTTTTTTATCAAAGGACACGCCAGCTTATTTGGCGAAAATAATCTTTCATTACATGGTGTCCAGTGATTTTGTAACAGGTTTGGTTTTAAGGTTGATAGACTGGCTCAGTTCGATAGGTAGTCGAGTCACAACGTAATTTAGTATCATTTTCGTTTATTATTACCAACCAAACCAAACCTTATTAGTTTATTTATATCCGATAATTTCACTTAAATGTCAACCCAGTTTTAAATTTTCAATTCCAAGCAGTTTTTTAGTTTGAAATTCTATAAAATATAAGCGATAATATCAGCTGTTATTTTTGAAGGTGGTATAAGTCCATTTTTTCATGTATCGAGCTAAATATTCGTAAACCTTAATCTATTCCAGTGATGTTATTAACACTATAAACCTTTTAAATTTTATTATGAAGTAATAACTTTTACATTCCTTACAAAAAATAAACGATTTTTTAACTCCAAATAACCTTATACCGCTTTCAAAAATAACATATTACAAGAAATAATAAAAACAGGAGTAAATATAAGATTTTTTTTATGTAAAAAGTAATAATTAAAATGAAGACAAAAAATTAAATGTATGATTATAAATATGGAAAGAATGTGTATGTATTACTGAAATTACCAATAAGTATTTATTTTTAAATTGGACTTATACCGCTTAAATAACGGTTCATATGTAAAAAAACGTTTTAAAATTTAATCTGAAGAAAAGTTGGTGTTAAGCAACCCTATGAAATGGCAACGCTGAGGTGAAGTAAAGAGGAATTTTAAATTATTCCCTTTGAAATAAACTGAAAAAGACTTCTGTCTGATGCATGGTGTGACAAAAATAAAAACTCGATTGACCAGTGCCCTCCTGTCGGTAGCCAAAATCGATCGAATGTCGTCGACTTGAAGAAAGAAGATCAAAAAGAAAATCGCTGGAGAAATCGATAAGTCTTCAATAATATTATTTCGAATTTCGTTTCGCAGTCATTTTTAATATCTAACTTTTCAGAACTATTCCAAAAAAAATACCTATATCTTTTTTGTGAAAATGAAAAAAAAATGAATTGATTTCGTTTTATTATTTACACGTTCCTGGAAAAATAATATGTAAACATTATCAGAAAATTATGAAAGTTTCAGTAATTGTAGAAAATGTTATGTATTTTTAGACAATATAACGATATAAAACTAAAATGCCTTAATTTTGTGAGAAAATTGATTTTCTAGACCCTTGTTTTTGGGCGGTTTTTGATGATCTCACCAAAATCGGTGACTTGACCAAAATCGCCAATTTTCATGACTATATGTATGGAAAAAAGTCGAAAAAATGGCAATTTTTTGCTTTTTTGTACATTTTCAAAGGCATTAGAAAAATAGTAAACATAGTCATAAAATTGTGAAAATTTCAGCATTTGTAGGAAATTTTATGAAGACTCAGAATATGTACACCTTTAAAGGATTAGATATCTTAAGTTTCTGAGAAAATTATATTTTTGTACCCTTGTTTTTGGGCTATTTTTGATGATGCTTAAAAAACCGATATAACCGTTCTCGTAGGACTACAATGGTTCTCGTAAGACTACGCCTTTTAACTAATAATAAATAACATCAGTATCAACATATAATAAATAACATCAGTCAACTAAAATCAGTGACATCACGAAAATCGTCAATTTTCTCGACTACATTTTTGGCTATTTTTACATACATATTTTCAAAGGCCTTAGAAAAATAGTAATCAAATCCCACAAATTATGAAGAACTCAGCATTTGTAGGAAATTTTATGTAGATTCAGAATATATACACCTTTAAAGGCTCAGGTACCTTGGCTATATTAATTTTCTGGACCCTTGCTTTTTGATAAAAGTTAAATCGTTCTCTGTATCCCTTACTGTTCTCGTAGAAGGACTACAATGGCCTATATTTTCTTATTATACACCAATACTAATTAAGTAAATAATAGCAGTTTCAACAAAATCGGTGACATGACGAAAATGGCCAAATTTTCATGACTATATGTACTCAAAGAAGTCGACAAATTGGTCACTTTTAGTTATTTTTTGAAGCTGTCAAAAATAGTAAACACAATGAGACACTTCTAAAAATATCATTATTTGTAGTAAATTTCATTTAGTTTCAGAATATTTAACTTTTTTTTTGGCTTAAAGAATTTGACATTATCAAAAACTGGATTTTCTGAATATCTGTTTTTGAATATCTGTTTTTTCATAATAAATAAAATTTCACTTCAAAATCAAAATCGAAAACTTCTTTATAACATAGTATGGAAAAAGTATATTTTCTTGAAAAAAAAATCAAAAGAGTCATGCAAATATATCGACAAAATAAATCTTGTTTTATTAGTTTCTTTAACATACAGACCCCACTCTTATCGTCGCAACAAATGAACTTCTAGGGACACGAGATGTATTGAATCGGACATATTAAGTCTTAGTTAGGGGTGGCATTTTCACCACCAGGAAAAGTAAGGGATGGGGCACAACGTTCCTTTCACAGCTCCAGTTGCATTTTCACTACCCTCGCGACAAGAAGGGTAAAATTCGAAACGTTATTTAACCCCATTCATTACGAGATGCTGTGCGGTTTGACATACACTGACTTTCTCTTTTCTTTTTCCAGAAAACCAACTGTAGACGACGTTGGAAACCCATCTTCGGTAAACGCACGGTAAGTACTAAAATATTAAAGTGCATACAGCAAAATTTACATATTTGTTTACCTTGTTTCAATAGTGTCCTAAACTTTAGTTGAATGATATTACAGATAAAAATAAGAGAAAAAGTTCCTAGTGTGAACATAACTAGGCTTAAAATGATTTCTAATGAAGTTACAACCCTTACAACATATCAACATTTACATTTTTAAATATATCTGGTACATACACTCACCGGCACGAAAAACGAACACCTTAAAATTTTTATGTATTTTGCTTGCAACAAATATTCTGTTCTAGTGGACCAATTTTGATGACCTTTTGAGTAGTTTGTAGCTAAATTATTTTACTTTTTAGTATCTCTTTCTAAATTAAAAATGATAGTTCACATCTGTCAGTTATACGAGAGTACACAAAATATTGTTATTTTGGTGAAAGTTGGTGGAACACCCTATAGAATATGTTAAAAAAACAAGGAATTTAAAAATATTTTATCATCTAGGTGTACACTGAAAAAAAGGATCTCTCAGTGGAAATGAATATGACTTTGCCCCAAAAGATTGGCGCTTTTCAATAGGGCCAAGAACGACGTTTCTTTGCCCAAAGCATTAACTATCTTTTCATAAGCTTTAAAAAATTACTTTAGAGAATAGAAGAATCGATCTGTCCAAAGTATTTCACTCTTGACCCAAAATGAATATGCAAAGAAGTTCTTGCTACAAGAACAGTAGTCTCTTTGATTCATGCAAAAATTCTTGATTGAAAGGGGATATTTCTTGATTAAAGAGACACTTTTCTTAAACCAATAGCGAATACTATTGACTCAACTAAAATTTATTTTGATCTAAGAGCAGTCTATATATACAAGCATATACAGGCATATTACGAGGTATATTATTTTCTGATAAATTTAGGTTTTCCTGGTCTGTAGTAAGTAAAGTGATATTATTTTCCTCGATAGTAGTTATTTCTGCTTCTTCACTCCTTGGCATTTTTTGGGGTGGTTCATCACTCTACAAATTACAAAAAAATGTTACATCACGATTAATCAAAGTAAAGCAAATAGGTTATTAAAATTATAAGCTTTGGTCACATTGTGAAATTTTTAATACGGCGACTTTTGTCATTATTTGCATAAAAAAATCGATACCTATATTCTTATTCTATCTATAGTCACGCATGCATTATCTAAACAGGCGCATTAGGTAAATGTCTCTTACCTTCAATATAGCAAATAAATGCTCTAATTTCCATTTTTTCAGAAACTCCTTTAAAGAATCCATATTTCCTAAAATTTGTCATTAAAAAATGACAAATGCATGTTAATAATGATCACTAATTTGTTATACGATATGCGTTTAAAAAGCAAATTATATGCAAAATTCCAAGTGGAAAATTCCAAGCAACAAAACCCGGGCGTACTATGATGTGCGACCTATGAAATGCGACGTACGACTGATTGTATGTACCGTCATTCGTCATCGTCTTTGCGTGTCGTTATTAGTTTTCATCAAAAGAGTATTTAGCTATTGGAAAAATGGTCATGTTTCTTGAATGAAGTACTTCCTAGCGTATTTTTCTTATTATCTTAAAACAAAGTAACTTGCACTTGGTTGAATGAAAATAGATTCAAGAGAAATTTTCGAATTTTTCAAGAGAACCAGTTTTCTTGAGTTAAGAGAGTTTTTCTTCAGGCAAAATATTTGCAAAATATTTCAAGTCTATCCTTTTTATCAGTGTATCTTATCTAGATAGTTTATTTTTTGGTTCATCTCAATAGCTTTATTTTTGTTGGAGATATTCGTTTTTCAACATTTTTTCGTAATTTTAACATTAACACCATGCCTTTGCTTTTCACTTGGGAAATCAAAACTACCGAGAAAGGATGTGGTACATCCTTTCTCGATACTCGTATAATTGACAGATGTGAACTATCATTTTTAATTTAGAAAGAAATACTAAAAAGTAAAATAATTGAGCTACATATTGCTTAAAAAATCATCAAAATCGGTCCACTAGAACAAAACATATTAACTTTAAAATACATCAAAATTTTAAGGTTCTGAGGAATTTGTTCATGGTAATTTAGTACTTAGGGCATATTATATGTTCATAGGAAATTTTTGTTTTATTTTTATCTGTACCAATCGAAGTTTGGTACTTGATTTCTTTTACACTCTGTCTAAGAAAAAAATATCAAACTCAATAAGTAAATTTAAAGATGGACATCTAAACATTGAATTACAAACAACAAAAAATGTAAAAAGTCGCGCGTAAGATAAAAATGCTTGATAGTACAATCGGAATGTTTGCAGTAACATTAGAAAAGCACATTTCAATCGAAAACGAGAAATTTATACTGTGGAAGTGTCATAATGTGCATTTTTTCGAGCCTCGTAATAAAATGAAAATGTTTATCGCCGACAGTGAAGAAATTAGCTGAGAAAAAGACACCTGTTGCTGATGGCTGCGTTGTTTATGTACGATCGTACGAATTATTTGCACGTAAACATGCACGAAGCATAGCGCCTATAATTTGTTCTGTAACAATTTGTCTTTTAACTGCGTACGTCGTCAACTTTAATATGTTGCATTATTTATTTTCCGTGTCCGCCGCTTTCCGCAAGACGCGCAGCCTTTTAAATTAATTTGTTCTCTCGATTGGTATCATCACTGAATTATTAAATTTGCAATTTAAAACACGCCTCAGATATTTACATCGATATTTTTTAGCCTTTTATATAGCCTTTTTAATACTACCCTGTCAAACATTAATATCTACAGATTACACTTGATATCTCCACTATTAAAATGTATTTAAACTTTTTTTTCTTTACTGGAAAAGCTTTATTTATATAAACATTTTATTACCCATAAACTTATAAGTTTTCATGGCTATACTTTTTAATTTAGAAAATTATGAGAATTTCAGTATTTGTAGGAAGTTTTATATAGATTCAGAATATGGGTACACCTTTGAAAGCTTATGTACCTTGGCTTTGTGAGAAAATTAGTTTTTGGACCTTTGTTTTTGGGATATTTTTGATGATGGTTAAAACGTTCCCTTCATCTATTACTGTTCTCGTAGGACTACAGTGACCTATATTTTCTTATTCTACAACTTTAAATTGGTAAATAACAGCAGTTTTAACGTAATCGGTGACATGACGAAAATCGCCATTTTTCACGACGGTATGGAAAAAAGTGGAAGAAATGACCATTTTTTACACACTTTTAGAGGCCTTACAAAAATAGTAAACGTTATCATAAAATTATGAAAATTCCAGCATTTGTAGCAAATTTTATGTAGATATAAAATATGTACACCTTTGAAGGCTTAGCTGTCTTGGTACTGTGAGAAAATTAATTTTTTGGACCCTTTTTTTCAGCTATTTTTATTTTTGATGAAGGTTAAAGCGTCCTCTACGTCCATTACTATTCTCTTAAGGTTACAATGGCCCATACTTTCTTATTCTACACCTTTTAATTAGTAATACTAGCAGTTTTAACATCGGTGACATGACAAAAATCGCCAATTTTCAGGTATGGAAAAAAAGTCGAAAATCGACCTTTTGGCTATTTTTTACACACAAAGGTCTTACAAAAATAGTAAACGTAGTCATAAAATTATGAAAATTTCAGCATTTGCAGCAAATTTTATGTAGATTCAGAATATATAACCAAATCAAACCTTTGAAGTCGGCCTCGCGAGAAAATTAATTTTTTTGAACCCTGGTTATTCACCTATTTTTAATGAAGGTTAAAGCGTCCTCTATATCTATTACTGTTTTGTCGTAAGACTAAAATGGCCTATATTTTCTAATCCTACACCTTTTAATTAGTAAACAATAGCTGTTTTAACAAAATCGGTGACAATGACGAAAATCGCCAATTTTCATGACCGAATTGACAATTTGACAAAAAATGACAATTTTTGACCATTTTTTGAACTTAGAAATTTGTAAACATATAAATCGCTAAATGGTTTCTTTAAAACATGCCTCTGGTATATACACTATCAAAATATATTTATACATTTTTTTTGGGATATTTTTCCACCGAGACAAAAAAATCATTTAAACAACTGTATCGTATCAATAAAGTTCGCGAAGTCTACTCTTACGAATATTTCAATAAAACTACGTGACTTAAAGCGAAGAAATCTGACTCTCAGAAAAATTGAATATGAGTTATTGAAACTGCGACGTCTGGAGAACAATCTGAATATGAAATGTGACGTGTATTTTAAAATCTCATAGAAAGCCACAACCAAAATAGATAGTTACGATATACGTATAAATCAAATTCTCTTTGCAACATTCCCGAATGCCAGAATATAGAAAGCAACTTACAAGCCACAGGATCGCTTCTGCGACTCACAGAACTACACTGCGTTCCAGTATTATTCATAAGTTCGCTCTTATTTCACGTTTCTCTCATAATTCATACATAAAGTTGTGTTTAAAGTTTTGTTTTGAAGTACAAACATCGAACTAGTGGTAATAAAAATAAATACTATATATTTTCGAGGACAAAAAAGAAAGATCTATGTGGATAGAAACGAAATATAAGGTAGAATTCAGGAACTCGGCTTTGGGGAGGATACACATTATGTCAGGAATATCGAATCACAATGTTTATCAATTATTCACCGTATTCTCGCCTCACAAGCGTTTCTTTTTTTCTCAATTCCCCAACGAGATGCTGAGGTATACATAAAATAATATTTTTCTTTATTATTCCTGGTGCCATTTGTTAGGTTATTTTTCTTTTTCTACACACAGCAAATCCTCGATTTGTTTCCAGTTAAATACATTTTTGATAAAATGAAATAATACAAAATGTACTTGAGAGAAATTTTAGAGCTTTTTAGCCCGAAAAGCATTTGAAATAAAAAATGAGCAGGTTCAACTAAGACCATCAATATAGGCACGTGGCACTCTACGCATGAATCTGACAAATGGTTATGTTTATGAGAGAAGATCAATCTTTATAAATGGACCAACAAGGGCCA